CTGATGGTTATTCTGGTGAGTTTTTTAGGTCCTGTTGGGACATTGTGGGGAAGGAAGTCTGCTTGGCAGTTAAGGAATTTTTCTTAGGGGTTCCAATGCCCACTGCTCTCACTTGTGCTCAATTAGTTCTTATTCCCAAGGTGTCTGTCCCTGATAATTTTAGCCAGTATAGACCTATATGCCTGTTAAATTTTATGAATAAGGTCTGTACAAGAATTATTACTTCTAGAATGCATGTCGTTATGAACCGTATCACTTCTGAGGAACAGATTGGTTTTCTTCAAGGAAAAGACATTCATTGGCATATTCTTCTAGCAAAGGAATTAATACATGCTTTGGATAAAAAGGTTAGAGGAAGTAATGTTGCCATCAAGTTGGACATGACAAAGGCTTTTGATAGGGTGTCCTGGTCCTTTCTCGAAAAAGCTCTTGATAAATTTGGTTTTCATAAACCCTTCATTGATATTATTTTATCAAATCTACGAAGCACTCATCTATCAGTCTTAGTGAATGGTCAAATTCATGGTCTTTTACAGCCCCGGAGAGGTGTGAAGCAAGGTGGTCCTTTATCCCCTTTTTTATTCATTTTGGTTTCAGAATGCTTTTCTAGGGGATTAAAATACTTGATTGAGCATAAGAGAATTGGTGCTTACCATGTTGTGGGCGGTGTACCTATCATTTCACATCTTGCTTTTGTTGATGACCTCCTTGTTTTTGTAAATGGCTCTCATAAATCTCTCAAGTTTCTTTCAGCTTTCCTCAAGCACTATGAAAAAGCTTCGGGCCAGATGGTAAACCTGCAAAAAAGCTATCTTATTATCCCCCAAAAAATAGCAAATGCCAGGCATATTACAATGGAAAATGCTCTGAAAATGAAGGCAATTCATCTTCCTTTTAAATATCTAGGGGTTCAAATTCATCAAGGTATGACCAGAGCTAGGCATTGTAATCATTTGGTGGATTTCTTTGAATCTAAACTGAGTTATTGGAAAAGGAAGAATTTGTCTCAAAGTGGTAGATTGATTCTTATAAAGCATGTACTGTCATCAATTCCTATACATCACCTAGCTGCAGCCAACATTCTTAGAGCTACTCAGCATTCTTTGAATAGGTTAATGGCTCGTTTTTATTGGGAAGCTTATGAGTTAAAGCAAAAATATCATTGGGATAATTGAAGTAAAATTGCTAAACCAGGTGAGGAAGGAGGTTTAGGCATTCGTTCTATTTTGGATATTCAGTCTGTGTTTCACCTCAAAACTTGGTGGGCTTGGCGTGAGGGATCATCTATATGGGATAATTTTATGCACCTTAGATATAGCAGGAATGGGGATATGAGGCCTAGACCTTCAGATTCAGCTATATGGAAGCAATTTTGTGGATTAATGAATTAGGGGAAGATAACATTGATGTAAATGATCAAAAAGGACTTATCTGGTTGCCAGATTCAAGGGGTATCTTTACACTTGCTTCAGCTTATGAACTTGTGCGTGCCTCTTCTCCATCTTTATTTTCATATAAACAAGCTTGGAATCCATATCAAAAGTTGAACATCAAACTTTTCTTATGGAAGCTTTTAAACCACTAACTCCCTTTCCGAGAAAATCTCAAGAGATTTTCTATTCAAATGGCTTCTCAATGCCCACTTTGTCTGACGGCAAAACAAACTGGTTCCCATTGTCTTTACTCCTGCAGTAAGGTAAGAGGAATTTGGGATTATTTCATGGATTTAATGTCTATTAATAAAACTAATAATCCTAGTAGTAGACAAATGTTCTTTTGCTGGTGGCTCTCGGGTAAGCAAAATAATTTGGAAGGAATCTTGAAAAATAATCTCCCAGGTATTATTAGCTGGTTTATCTGGAAAGATTATAATGATCTGATTTGGGAAGATAAAATCTTTGAAGTTGGGGCGATTATTTTCAAAATTAAGGATTATTGTCAGAATTGGATATCCACATTACCCAAGAAATATCTTTCTGATTTATTGGAGGAACTGATCCAAGAAGGTTTGTTGCCTGATTCGATTCACAGAAGCAAAATCCAAATTCTGATTTGGAAGAATTCTTACCCCTATAAGTTGAGACTTTCAGTTGATGCAGCGTTCAGAGAGGGGCGAAGTGCTGGTGGTGCGGTTCTTAGAAACGAAGGCGGAAGTATAATAGCTGGCTTCTTCATGCCTCTTTGCGTGAAATCGGTACTTCAAGCGGAAGTGCAGGTAGCTCTCCAGGCACTGGATTGGTGTGCTAGATCTGGGTTCTCTGACTTTCAGTTGGAATCTGATTCTGAGATGACAACGAAGCTTTTGCTGAAGAAATCAAGCCCCCCGATCTATCTTCAGAGGATGGTTGAGGAAGCACATCGGCTTTGCTCAACCCTTCAAGTCTGCATTCAGCATATCTTTAGAGAAATGAACTTACTTCCACATGCTCTTGCTCAGTTTGGTCTTAATTCTGACACGTTTAATTGATTTACTACTTCAGTTTCCTTACCTAATAATATGTGCACCCTTATTGATTTAGATATTAATGGGATTTCTTCTTTTAGGAATTAGCTCTTTTGTATTTTTCTGGAAAATTGTGTAAGGTCTAGTCCCCTTAATTTTCTTCTTTATTTTGAGAGGTTTTGGTTTGGCCCCCTCTCTTTGTATTCAGATTTATTATTATAAATAAAATAACGGCAAATGTGTCCCGGCGGTGGTTCGCCTTCCGGGATAAAAAAAAGTATATATATAATAGCTAGAAAATTTATTAGTAACTACATAAGAATGAAATCATCTAACATAACAAAAAAGAAGGATATATTACACGACTTTATTACAACCGCGAGACATTATTTGGGGGGTGAAACTATGAGACGGAAAAGTGGAGGACAAACAAACTTGAACTAATAATTTGTGTGTAGCCTAGGAAGGATGGTGGTCACTTGCTGCATGTGTTTGGTTGTGGGCTCTTTCCTTCTCTTTGACTTCACTTCCTTGGTTATCATCTTCCTCATATTCTACATTTCTACCCCTGCATCACGTTGAAGTTTGAGTTATTTTACAAGATAGATTCTATGATACTCATAAGGTACCATACCTTTGTCAACATGGACCAATCAAAATGTTGCAGTTGAATTATTTAAGTCTAAGTTAAAATTGATATATCTATGTGGACCAATCAAATGTATGACAAGTACGGTACTTCATTTTTTAAATGGGTACCGGAGTTCTCACCATTTTACAAATGATATAATCATATAACTATTTAAGTCTACTAATTGCACTAGACTTGTTGAATACTAATTGAGTGAACTAAATGGAAAAAATGGAAGATACTAATTGAGTGAACTAAATGGAAAAAATGGAAGAATTAGACTGTACTGGACTTCAATTCAGCCTACCAGAACACTAATCATTCTATCATTGTCATAATAGGTTTAGTAGAATATTCCAAAAAATGTGTTTTGTAATTTAGGTAAAAATAATAATTATATCCTATACCTATTTACAATTAATTCATCATTTTCTAGCAATTTTTTAGGAAAATTACGCTTTCTTTGAGAAAGCGTCTTCGATGTAAATGGAAGCAAAAAAGTGGAATAGCTATTAACCTGCTGGAGCACTTGTATGAAGAATTTGGTCATCATCATGCAGGGTGGTATTTCCTCCATAAATGCCTCCAGGCAGGGGCGGATCCCGAAAATACAATTATTGGGGACACTTTACAAGTAAATTTATTAAAGACGGAAACAAGAACATGTAACACATGTAATACATGCAATTTATATAACATTATTCTAATACAAAGTGTTTTTCTTCTATATAGTAGTACTTCATTATACTTTTTAATTTGTTCCAAAAATTTGATTTATAATAAATCAAAGTAAATTAAATTATAAATTTAATTAATCATTAACTAATTAAGGAGGAAGTAAATACAAAAGGGAGTGTGTAAAAAAATGTTTTTCAGCTTTTGACTTAACAAAAGTTGAAATAAGTGTTTTCAAGTTATAGTTTTGCTTAAATTTAGCACTTAAAAGCTAAAAGCTGAAAGCTGGTGGAAGAGTGTTTTAAACTTTTATTCACTTTTTCTATTACACAAAATAATTTATTTTACTAATTACTGTCAAATTTTCCTTATTGCAGGAGTGTTTTTTCTAAACACTACCAATTTTTTACTAATAAACACTTTCTGTGAAATCACTAAAAAATCATACTAGAAGAATGACAAACACTCCCTAAACTTTTACTTATTACAGGAGCATTTTTCTCAAACACTACCAATTTTTACTAATAAGCATTTTCTCTATAATCACTAAAAAAATCATTTTTTTAATAGAAGAACGACAAACACTCCCTATATATATAGAATGACTAACAACGTATCATTCCATATTAATAGCCAACACAATCAAAATCTGTCATAATTGACACAAATAATAAAGTTGGATTTATATATATGTAGTTAATTAGATGTCTCGAGTCATGTATCCAGGGTTAATGTAAACACATAAGCTATAAGTTATTAAGTAAACCTCAAAGGAAATCAACTAATTCAAATTTATAAATTATCTGACAAACAATGAACTAATTAATATATACTCCGTAACTAATAAGAAATGAATAAGTTGTATTAATTGAAAATAAATTAAAAAAAATTGAAAAGAAATTAAGCAAAATAATGAATAGAAAGGAGTAGCAACATGGGTTGTGTGATTATTGGAGGACTCGCTGGTTAAAAGGGGGAAACTGTGAAAGGGTTCGACTTTGTAGGGTTGATCCTCCATTTCTTTTGTGACAGGCTTTACGAATTAGAATAAGAGTATAACTGTATAAGACAAATGTTAACAAATGTAATGGGGGCATACAAAATTGACAAGATTAATAAATTAGAGATGCTATTGCCTCCGATTAAAATAAATTAGTGACAAAATTTATTGTTGGGGGCCTTCTACTATTAGTTTTTTAAAATTAAATTTTGTAGTTAAAAGTTAGATAAATTGATATCTCGTTGGGGGCATGTGCCCCCATTGTACATCGGCACTTCGAATTTACATTCGCTTGGCCTGGACATGGAACTCCGCGGGGTTCTGGACGGACATCCGACCGGTTCAATTGGGCCTGACAGGATTGTCTGCTCCGGCAACGGCTTGCTCTGTGTCCAAACTGGTCCGCTTCATGCCCTCCCTCCGACTCTTGCATTGTGGAATCCTGCGATTCGAGAGGTTATGCAGGTTCCTAGTAGTAGAATAGTTAGTGGACGTTTACTTTATAATTTGGAATTTGGATTCAGTCCATCTCTTAATGATTACAAGATTGTGATAACCTATACGGGGAGGGATGTTGTGGCCGGCCTTGTGGTTCGTGGAGTTGAAGTTTATTCATTATCCACAAATTCATAGAAGGACATAGAATTCGGAATTTTAAAGGGTAGATACCTTATTACTAAGAGCCTGAATGTTAATGGATCCATGTTTTGGTTTGCAAGGAATCGATTGGAATTTGAGGAATCCATAGTTTCTTTTGATTTAGCATTGGAAGAGTTCAAAGTGATACCAGCACCTGCTTTATTCAGGGGAGAAGCTAAGCTGGCTGTGTATGAGGAGAGACTTGCCCTACTACATTCCTCTTTTGCTCCAAACTCAAGCAATTATGTTATTGATTTGTGGGTGATTGAGGAAGGCATTGGCGCCTCTTGGAGTAAGAAATTTACCTTTGGCCCTTATCCATACTCTTTACAACCATTGACCATTTGTAGGAATCATATTGTCGGCGTTGTTTCTTACATTGGTATGTATCATATGGAAGAGGAGTGGGAGAAGAGGGGGAAAACTAATTATATTTTTATTATTAATATCTCTTCTAATGAATTTAAGGTCACTAATGATAGGAAACGTGGTTATACTGGTCGTTCTTTTGAATATGTTGAAAGCCTTTTGTCTCCCAGCAATATCCTGCTTGGGAACCCTTGATTCTAGTGCCTTGTCAACTAGAAGACAGTTGAGATAATAACCAAGATTTTGGTGTTCATGTTTGTTCAATGTTTATTAACTAAACAAATGCGTATGAGCCGACCATTTTGATGTCTTCAGGTTTATTTGTTTATTGTTCATCAACGATCTCATTTAACGTTATATGGTGAAGATTGAAGAATCCTTTATAGCTTCTATGAGTACGATAACAATTATACACTTTTTAGTTTGACAGATCAGATTTAAACAAACTAAAATCGACTTTAGTGAAATTCACACACTCAGGATATCTAACAGACCAACTCAAACTGGACTAACATAAATAGAACAAATGGAACCCAATCACAAAAATTTAGTTTAACTAAAAACACCCATATATACATAAACATTATTACCTCTACACAATTTTTATATGCACTTATATTTATTTATCAACTTACGTTTACCTATTGCACCTTTTGTTTAAATAAAAACAACAAATTTCAACTATGCAGTTTACCTGCTGTGGTTGGAGAAACACTTCTTGCTTAATATTTTCCTTTAAATACAATTCTTAAATCCTACTTGGGCATCAACTCTTGGGAAACGCATGTGATCAAGCTGACATGGCCGATAAAACTACTAACACAATTCATTATCAAACTCTTCTATGACTACACCGATTTCATATACCAAACGAAGTCAATTCACACCACCACATAATTTGAGTATATGTGAAATAATGGGAAAGGTACTCCAATAGGAATCCTGACAGATATATTCATAATAGAAGAGTTGTCAAAATATAGAGTATTCCTAAATATATACTCAGCTCCCTCCGTCCCGTTGGGATGTTTCCGCTTTCCTTTTTTGGATGTCCCAAAAAGAAGTTCTCATATCCCTAAATGGAAAGTTATCCTACATCAAAACAGTGCCAAACAGTGTCAAACAGTGCCAAACAGTGCCCAAACAGAGTCCAAACAGTGTCAAAACAGTAAAATTTATCCCCTGATAAGTTTATTTCCTTAATATGTGTGTAGGTCAAACCGGGAACATCCCAACGGGACGGAGGGAGTATTAGGTAGATTCCTAAATATATAGATAGTATTAGGTAGATTCCTAAATACGGAGTATATTAGACTATTAGTATATGAAGTAATTCCACTTTTGGTCATACGAGTTTTGTGCCAATTCCACCTTTAGTCCACGTCTTTCATTTTGTTCACTTTTGGTACTTGACTAATGTTTTTTTAACCATTTGTGGTCCTTTTCTGGCGATTTTAACCATCCACAACAATGCCGGAAGGACCATATATGGGCGAAAACACAATAGTCATATATCAAAAGTGAACAAAGTGAAAGATTTGAACTAAATGTGGAATTGACCTGAAACTCGTAAGACCAAAAGTGGAATTTATTCTCTAATAGTCATATTTCCACACGACCAAAAGTGAAAGATGTGGACTAAACGTATGGTATGATTATTATTTTTTCACTTAATTCTGTATTCATTTATTTTGGACTACACAACACACACATTCAATAGTATTTTGTCTAAATTTTACTAAAAAGACTAAGAAAAACTCGTTTTTACATCACATGAGCACTAGTTGGTTATGCAACATTGCAACGACGACTTTTTGACTCAAAGTTTGGCTCGTCGTTGGCTCGGAAGTGCAACGGCTAATTTTTTGTTAAACAATTGGCTCAAATTTTGGCTCGGTAGCTTGTGGCTAGGAAATATCCGAGCCAAATGAAATGAAATGTGTTCTTTTTTGGCACGCAATTTGTTCCGAGGCAATTCGTGACGGCTTTTGGGACGAAATACCTCGTCGGTCAACATTTTTTCTAATTTTTCGAGATTGACACGGAGTTTGACTCAGAATATTGAAATCCCCGTTTGGGACGGGAAATTTCCGTGCCATCTGTCTGGAATATTGAAATCCCTGTCTGGAATATTGAAATCCCCGTCTGGGACAGAATATCTCGTCGGTCAACATTTTTTCTATTTTGAAATGAATGTTTGCTCCCTTTTGAAGCTATACTATTTTACAAATTTAACTTCGAACATATATTAAGGGCGTGTTTCACATTCAGTGGATAGCGGTTAGCGGATGCAGCTTAAGTTAGCAGGTTGATGTCGATAGCGGATTCAGTCAGCGTGTTTGACTAGCAGAATAAATTGGCGGATTGTTAAAAGATGTTTGGTAATTTAGCCATTTGGCCATGAAATTAGTAGAAAACGTCATTTTTCAAAACGTCAATCCAAAACTCATCTATTAGCAGCGTTTTCATTTCAGCGTTTTCAGCCAAAAATGCTAGTGCCGAACCGTTATTTACCAAACAGCTTTTTCACTTATTGAAAACGCTGAAAGTAGTTAAACCGCAATTTTTCGGCTGAAACTCCGTTTACCAAACACCTCGGCCCCTAAGTGCATATGTGATAAGTCCGTATTTAGACACGCATTTGATGCGTGTTGGGATTGGATTTTGATGGTTTTCCTAGATTTAAGGTGTTGCAAGTCTTAATTTTAGCTCAAGTTATGTTTAACAGGCGTTGGTTCGAGTTTTGTGTCATTTGGAGTCAAATCAGGATTTCAGAGTTCGGCACTGGCGCTTGAGGAACAATTGGGATGAGTTGAGAAGCATTTGATATTGATTTGAGAGCTTTGGAGGTCACCGGAAGATTCACGATGAAGATTTGAGGGAAAAAGAGCTCTAGGATTGGCTATGGGATCAAAAAGAAGATGAATGAAGCTTGAAAACGGCATTCAGGATGACCTTTGGTCAATCGTTCAAGCATATCTCTTTGTATAAGCATCCAAAGAACACGATTCAAAGTCCACATGAAAGCTAACGTCAAGAACTACAAATCATATGAAGACATCATTCTTAGAATCTGAGAGGAAGAAGATGAAAACAGACGATGAAGTCAGATGATCTTTGCTGCGATTTCAGAATGACACCTTCCACCGTTTTGATCATATCTCTTGATTGGATGATTCAAATCATATTCGGCAAATTGGGGTGGATAGAAGACTTCATTATCTACAACTTTCATGAAGAAAGTTTTGTCAAATTCGGAAGTTTTACGCACGCCGTGCGTAGGGGAACGCACGACCGTGCGTCTGAGGCGAGAAAAGCAAGGCAGCTACTGCCAGCTACGCACGGCCGTGCGTAGGGGGGACGCACGCCGCGTGTAGCACCGGGTGACGCAAACTTGAATCCCAAATCGGCCCGAATTCATATTTTTCCCCTTTTTTCTATAAATAAGGCCTCCCTAACCCTTTTTGGATGGTTACGAACATTACGGAGAGGCCTAGGGACGAATTTACTTGCGTTTTTACGATTGTTTACTCCAAGACCCTGGGATTATTTGTAAGTTCATCTTTTTAATTAATGACAATTATTTCTATTCATCCCAATTCTGTTGATTCTTCAATTATGAATTGTGAGTAGTTTAATTAGGGATTTGGGATTGATGAAGGGGTTAATCATGATTGATGGCTAGATTCTTGTCGGTTTAATTGCATGAATGCCATTTAATTTGTGTTTGAATAATTTAACTGACATATTTTGTAACCTGGAACCGCGGCTAGAATTACAATTGCTTGTAGAATAAATTAAGAGAGATCTAATTTATTCTAGGACACATTCACACACACTTAATCGTTCGCTAAGAGAATAGTAGCGATTAGGGAGCCGTAAGCTCGCTCGTCTTGGCAATAATTTAGGATCCTGTCGCATGAGAGATCAGCCTGGTCCCCTAAATTATTGTACTCTACGCCGCGAGAGCTGTAAGAACTTAGTAATGATTAGCTAGGCTCAATTAAATCAATTTCATGTAATTAAGCCTGATCTGCCAGAAATCTGGTTACCCCGGAATCAATCCCTATTCCCTTCGTCATTAATTAATTAGAAACCACATTTATTTTTTATTCGCTCAACCGCATTAGTTTAATTTTTCAAACCAACCAATCTCGCACGACGCTTTTATTTTATTTTCTTTTCAATCGCTGAATTTAATTAATTCTTGATTCCCTTTTGTCCGTCCCTGTGGAGACGATACTCGTACTTACACCACTATATTACGATCTATTTTAAGTGCGAGAAAACTCACATCAATATGTCAACCATGTACTATATAAGTTTGTTACACTTTCCGTTTGGGGATGTATATTAAAGTTTACTACATTTCTTCCTTTTGGTATGTTTTCCCGTTAAGTATATTTAATTACCTTTAGTTTTCTACTTGTCATTATTTTCTCTTTCATATTTCTATTTTTTTATCTAATTTTTCTACACTATTCATTATCCTGACTTTTTTATAATTACTCAATGATACTGTATTCATCCCTGAATTGTCTTTCAAATATGGTTTTACACGAAGATTGAAAAAATTGAGAATTGTGTGATGGAGAATTGTGCAAAAGAAAAACAAATGTGTAAGAATATGTAAGAAATAAATTTATTAGGTTATTGTATCTCTAACTATATTGAAATTCACAAATCTATTTATTCTTTACTTTTTATAAAAAAGTGGCTAAAATTTCATCTCTTATAACCGCTGGAAATGGTCGTCACAAAACTTTCCAACCATTGTATACCAATGGACAATTTTCATCGGAAATATGTTGGAATAACGCTTTTTCAACAATTTTTTATTAGATCCGTTGGAAAGTTCGTTGGTAACATGTCATTTTCATGTAGTGATAAATTGTAACTCCATGAAACTGTAGTGGCTAAAATTTCATCTTTTATAACCGCTGGAAATGGTCGTCACAAAACTTTCCAACCATTGTATACCAATAGACAATTTTCATCGGAAATATGTTGGAATAACGCTTTTCCAACAATTTTTTATTAGATCCGTTGGAAAGTTCGTTGGTAACATGTCATTTTCTTGTAGTGATAAATTGTAACTCCATGATTTATATTTAAATTTAGTCTGTATAGCTCATATGATGAGTTAGTTGAAAAGAGATACTTGTATTATAGAATAAATATTTCAGTTTGTGGATGGAACTTACTACAAACTTTAGTAAGTTTATCATATTTATTATTCACAAAAAGATGAAATGGATTTTCATAAGAATTACATACTCTCTTCGTTCCTTCAAACTTTATCATATTTTGTTTTTTGAATGTCTCAAAAACTTGTCACTTTCCATGTTAATAAATTAATTTGTGGTTCCTATTATTTCTCTTTCGAGAAAGGGGCAAATAAGCACATGTACTAACCAAAAAAGGTCAAATAAGCCCTTATATAGGAAGCTCTGTCCGGCCGTCGCCATTTGGGTCGTTTCCCGGTGGAATTTTTTATGAATTTTTTTGAGCAATTTATTCATTAAGTCTAGTTTACTCATACCAAATTTAAGCTAAAACTTCAATTGGGAAGACATTCAAATTAATTCTTGAAAATAATTGCGCGGTTAAAAATACACGAAAGCTCTTCATGAACATTAAATTAACAATAGTTAAGGTATATTTATTACTATTTTTTATTTATTTCTACTCCACTCCCTCCCATTTTTAAATGAAAATTTGAATGTATATAGTTCTAATTATTTTTGTATTTTGTGTTTTAACTTTGTGTAATTGTGTGCGATAATATTTATTAGGCTATTGATTCTGACTATTATTAATTTGGGATATTCATTATTAATATTATAATTTTAAAATTCGATTTTCTATTCATACCTATAAATATAAAATATGTATCTGTCATACTCCATATGAATTTAGGGCTTTGTTCTTTTTTATTAGTATATATACGAAGTATTGCGGCATACAACTAACTTTCTTCATCAGAAGAAAAAACGAAAGCAGAGCAACAATGAAACGAGCGGAGATGTATGGCGGCATCCCTTACCTTCCAGAAGAAATCCTCACAAACATTCTGAAGCGGCTTCCAGTGAAATCTCTGGTCCGATTCCGATGCGTGTCCCGTTTATGGAAGAATCACATCAACGCCCCTTCCTTCATCATCGACCATCTCAGCTATTCCAACCATCAAACCCCTTCTCTGATTACTGACTTCGAAGGCACTTCGAATTTACATTCGCTCGATCTGGACATGGAACTCCGCGGGGTTCTGGACGGACATCCGACCGGTTCCATCAGGCCCGATAGGATTGTCGGCTGCTGCCACGGCTTGCTCTGTGTTCAAACCAGTCAGCTTCAAGCCGTCCCTCTGACCCTTTCAATGTGGAATCCTGCGATTCGAGGGGTGATGCCGGTTCCCAGAAGTAGAACACAGAGTCGTGTTATAGATTATAAGGTGGGATTTGGATTCAGTCCATCTCTTGATGATTACAAGATTGTGATAATCTATACGGGGAGCGATCATGTGAGCCTTGTGGTTAGTGGAGTTGAAGTTTATTCATTAGCTACAAATTCATGGAAGGATATAGAATTCGACATTTTAGACCGCAGATGCTTAATCAAAGAAAGCCTCAATTTTAATGGATCCATCTTTTGGTTAGCAACCAATCTTTTGGAATTTGAGGAGGACGAGGGATGGACAATAAATACACCTCTTGCCTTAGTTTCGTTTGATATAGCATCGGAGGAGTTCAAATTGATGCCAACACCTCCTTTATTCGAGGGAGTAGCTAAGTTGGCTGTGTATGAGAAGAGACTTGCCCTACTACATTCCACTTTTGATCCAAACTCAAGCAATTCTGTTATTGATTTGTGGGTGATTGAGGAAGGCATTGGCGTCTCTTGGAGTAAGAAGTTTACCTTTGGCCCTTATCCATACTATTTACAACCATTGACCATTTGTAGGAATCAAATTGTAGGCGCTGTTTCTTACTTTGAAAAGGTTCAATGTATGGAGGAGGAGGAGGAGGAGGAGGAGGGGGTGATAAAGGTGAAGAAGGCTAAAACCGATGATATTTATTTGATTAACCTCACTTCTAATGAATTTAAGGTCATTGCTGGTAGTAGATATGGCTATACTGGTCGTTGTTTTGAATATGTTGAAAGTCTTTTGTCCCCGAGCTATATCCAGCTTGGGAACGCTTAATTATAATGCCCTATGGATTAGAAGACAGTTGAGATATTAAACATTTTGATGTTCAGATCATGTTTGTTCATTGTTTATTCATTAAATAAATGTGTATGAGCTGAGCATTTTGAAGTGTCGAGGTTTGTTCGTTTATTGTTTGTTCATCAACAATCTCGTTTAACTTTATATGGCAGCAGATACCTTTTTAGCTTCTATGAGTACAATAACAATTATACTCTTTAGTTTGACAGATCAAATTTTAACATACTAAATCAAACTTGGACTTTAGATAGTGAATTTCACACATTGAAGATAAACTAACGGAACAGCTCAAACTAGACTAACATAAATAGACCAAATGGAACCAACCATCACAAAATTTTAGTTTAACTAAAAACATCCATGCTTGAACACTCTTACTTCTACACAATTTTTATATGCACTTTTTTTTTATTACATAACCTTACATTTACCTATTGCACATTTGTTTAAATAAAAACAAATTTCAACTATAATCAATATAGTATTGTTGTAATATTCGTGGAGTGCTATTCTTGTCTGACCAAGCCGAACAGGAGGGTGATCCGGCCGACTAGCAACCTCGTTTTGAGATGGTTTCCGGTGATATTTTTTCTCAAATATTTTGAGCATCTTACCAATGAAGTGTAGATGATCTTCGCCAAATTTTATAAAAACATTCAATCGGGAAGGTAATCAATTGATTTTTTCGAAGATAACTGTGCCAAAATATTCATATAAAACACAGTTATCTTTAAAAAATCACTTGACTATCTTCTCGATTGAATGTTTTTCGAAAATTTGGTGGAGATCATCTCATCATCTCAAAATTGGAGAAAACTATCCACTTGGAACAACTTCAAAACGAGGTGGCCGGACCACACCCATGCAGGACACGAATATTTCTCATGTTTGTGATCTCATACCATTATAAGTGTCAAAATTAAACGTATGGTATGATTCTTATTTTTTTCACTTAAATCTTTATTCATTTATTTTGGACTACACCACACACACATTCAATATTGTTTTTTCTAACTTTTACTAAAAAGACCAAGAAAAAGTCTTGTACATCACCGGAGCACTATACTAACTTTAATCTTATTAATATGTTTTAATTTTTAGTATTTTAGTATATTTACCAAGTTAAGCTTTGACTGTTCAAATGGGTAGATACGTGAATTAGTTTATTTTATTCTGTTTATAGTTCAATTTTGGCGGCCTGGCGCTGAACCTAAACTCCATTTTTTCACATCCTCTCCTTTACTGGGTATCATCAACAGCCAAATGAACAGCTTCTTCCTTGCCGCCACCAGCAACAACCATTGCCACGTTTGAGGTGGAGTTAAATAACAGGCAAAGTAAAAGTGATCCTCTCAGGTGGGGGTTTGAGCATCTTGTGAAACAAATTTTAAGTATTTACTTAAAATTGATCGCAAATAATAATATGTGAGAATATCGGGTACAATCTCTAAATATGAATCCTCTGATTCTTCACTTGCAATTTGATATGAATATAATTAAAGAATTTAATTAAAAATTAAATCTTTAATTCTTCAAAAACTTGAACGTTCTTCGGATCTTCAAATCTTCTTGAATAAAGAATTCAGCTTGAAGGGCCTCCGGTTTTCAAGTGGCTTGATCTTCAACAAAAGGGCCGTTTTATGGCTTGATCTTCTGTTAAAGGGCCTCCCGGGATATATGGCTTGATCTTCAATTGAATCTTGATTCAATCTTCATATGAATATCTTCAAATCTTCAAATATTCGTTTTTCATATCTTCGAATCTTCAAAGCTTCGTTCTTCAGATCTTCGAATCTTCAAGCTTCGTTGTTCAGATCTTCGAACGTTCTTCAACTTTTGCTTTGTTTGATCAAGAATAGATGAAATCACAAAGGATTATTCATATATTCTTAAAAAAACGTGGCTTGATCTCTTCCTCTTCTTCGGAATCGTTCAGAGCCTTTCGGGAGTTCTTCAGAGCTTTGTTGCAGCGTTTCTTCGTCTGAAAGTTCTCCTCCATTCCTCTCATCTGAGACCCTTATTTATAGGTGTGGAGGGGGTGAAAATGTGGCCTAGGGTTGCAGAAATTCGTCCATATACCTTGGGCCTCAATTAAAATGGGCTTCGGGCTCTATTTGCTTGCATTTTAATAGCTAGAAAAATCAGGATTTGTCCGATGTATTTGGACAGCTTTTTTAACAAGATTCATAGCTATTTTCCATGCATATGGAAGGATTTCTTGGCCAGATTCGTTGACCTCTTTATCAATTGGATCATGTCTCTTATATATTAGGCTGTTATTTGATAATGGACTCAAGATTAATAGGACCGATCCATTCTTTTAAAGATTTAATTTATAATTAAATTAATTGGATAATTCGAATGATCCAAATTAATTAAATTAATAAATTTTATCCCAAGAAATCCATATCACTATTTTCTTCTTGATAAGGCCCACCAACCATCACGAGCAGCTCACTAAAATCGACGCGGGCTAGATATCATTCAAAAGAGGCCCACTAATCATCTCAACTAGTCCAATAATTTTTATATGTCCACAAATGCCCCCTCGAGACTTGCTTGAATATCTTAAAAGGTAAAGTAAGTCTCGAAATAAGTGGACCCGATATCTCTAAGTGCCTTGAAATATGCTTTCTCCCTTAACCAGGTAGGTTAAAATATTCATGAAATTAGTAGCACAACTTCTTTATTCTAAAAAAACTTAAGAGCTTAACGATCAAAAAAAAAAAAAAACTTAAGAGCTTAAGAGCTTAAGTCTAATATGCTTCGTCCAATTCATCTAAATTGTGGGTCTGCTAGCTCATCAATTCAATTCAAAGAATGAATTTGAGAATATGTAATATTTTAAAACTTTTTGTTCATTCTCTTCTTGAAATAACGAACTCAATCAATCGTGCGGCGCAAGGCAGTATCAGTTCAGATTAACAAACTTTTAGAACTCCAACTAGGATTCTAAGCTTTAAAAGCCCTTCTTAGATTCAAATACTTCAAGCTTCCTCCGCACCGTAACTCGATTGAAATTCTAAGACCCAAACTGCCTATAAATATCACCGAACCTGATGGAGTTTAGCACGCCGGCCGAAGATGGTAAATATATTGACTCTTTTCACACCTCTCTTAATTTGGTTATTTTATGTTGCAGGGCTAGTTCAAGGCTGAAATTCAGATGCTATCATGTTGGTCAATATATTCAATTATTGCCAATTAAGCTGAAGACGGAGTTCAAAATCCCTGAGGCAGACGAAGCATAGCGGATTGCTGGTGCCGCTCGCCAGAGGTCAGTGGTCACAGGCCGAGCTGGATATTGATTCTTCTGGTGATGTTGCAGTTTCGAAAGGCCGCCGCTGCCGCTGATTTCTTCCTGGTTTATTTTGCTCGTCGGCCAGAAGATGAAGTTGATCTGTTGACTGCGCCCTTTTTGTGCGATGAAGATGATAAACTGGTTTTGACCGGAGAAGATGGTGGGCCCGATTTCATCGCTGGAGCCGTCGCTAGAGAGAGGAGTACCGGTGTTGTAGTCGCTAAAAGTCTGTAGCCGAGATGACACCTCTGCTGCACTTTTGGCGAGAAGAATGAACGAGATTTGTTGGCGCTGATATTCTTTTGCTTGTGCGGAGGACCAGATGGTTTCAATTAATCGTTGCTCTCTGCTCAAGTGAAAAGAAGACTAGCTGCGGGTTTCATCGGAGAGTAACATCCTGCCGCCGCCGCCGTTTTCTTTTAGCCCAGCCATTCCGCCTGCTTGCCGGAAAGGAGCTCAATTGATCACAGTTGGCGTTGATTTCTCTCGAATTGCGTTCGTTCATCGGAGGATGAATCTGGTCACTGTTCACCGATCGGGAGAGAAATCCCGGCTGAGCTTGAAGCTGATTTCTGGCAAGGAGAACTGCGACAGACTTTTCTTTTCTGCATATTGCCTAGGGCCGCTAGCGTGAAGATGACTAGAGAAATTGAGGCTAGCTGGCTTGGTTCAACCGTTCTGATCCTGATCAGACGCTTAGGTCCTTATAAGCATTTTTTTTAAATCCTCCTTTTTTTCTTCTGCTTCTTTTTTCTTTTTCTTTTTTTTTTTTTGCAGGGACGATCAAATTGTGGCTCCTTTTTTAGTTCTCCACGAGCTAGAGCAATTGCGAGTCTGGTATTCTATTATTTCAAGTGACTTGAAAGTGATGCCATTCATTGTAAAGGAAGGAGCTTTGGCCGATTGTCGATCCTGGGCGTGAAGACCAGCTATTTTGTCGGTGTGAAGACCGACCACTTCGTCGGTGTGAAGACCGACCACTTCGTCGGTTTGAAGACCGACTATTTTGTCGGTGCGAAGACCGGTCGCTTCGTCGGTTTGGAGACCGGCTATTTTGTCGGTGCGAAGACCGGCCACTTCGTCGGTTTGAAGACCGACTATTTTGTCGGTGGGAAGACCGGCCACTTCGTCGGTTTGAAGACTGGCTATTTTGTCGGTGCGAAGACCGGCCACTTCGTCGGTTTGAAGACCGGCTATTTTGTAGGTGCGAAGACCGGCCACTTTGTCGGTTTGAAGACCGGCTATTTTGTAGGTGCGAAGACCGGCCACTTCGTCGGTTTGAAGACCAGCTATTTTGTCGGTGCTTGAAGCAGTCTTGCAGGAGCTTAAAGCGGTCTTGCCGGAGCTTGAAGCGACAAGGGCTTGTAGCGGTAGGAGCTTATAGCGGCAAGAGCTTGTAGCTGTCCGGCAGAAGCTTGTAGCTGTCTGGAAGGAGCATGAATCGGTCAGGCAGGAGCTTGTAGATGTCTTACCAGTTTTGCCAGTTTGAAACGATGGTGTTTCCCTTTGTCCTTGTGAAGAAGATGACACTGCCGATTCAAAGCTTTAGAGGGGAGTGGCCGAGTAGAATTCTTCCAGAGCTGCAGCGACGTGTTTTTGACGCCAATTTTAGGCGATTCTAGGCGTTGCTTGTGGTAAGAACCGGCGATCATTGCACTTTTCGATCCCGGCGGAAATCTAGGAGGCGGATTGTCGCTCGCACTTCAAAGGGAGAAGTTAAAACTTTAAGTATTTACTTAAAATATTTAGGACACCGAGGCTGAGGAGTCGCAGTTGCTCGTGCTGTGTTATTGACACGATGGTGGCGTTGTGGAGACATCATTTGAAGCTCCGCTCAATCAACTTCTGGTGAGGAGGAGACCAAAGTATTCC